TCTGTTAATGCAGATTGCATTTACATTTTTGATGGCTGCCACACACTGCTGGCTCATATTTAAGGGATTGTCCACTACGACTGCAAGATCCCTCTCACAGTTACTGTTAATGAGCAAACTTTCATCTAATCTATGCCTGTACATATGGTTTTTCTCACCATTGAATTTCACTTGTTAGATAGGTTGTTCAAATCTGTCGAGATCCATTTGGATACTTACCCAATCTTTTCGGATGTTGGGTATTCCTGCCAGCTTGGTGTCATCTGTAAATTTGATGAGTTTCCCTCATCTAAATTGCTTATGAAGATATTGAAAAGTACTGTGCCTAAGGCAGAAACTTGGGGTACCCCACTACTTACTTCCCTCCAAGTAAATGTAGTTCCATTAAGGACTACACATTGAGTGTGGTTTGTCAGCTACTTGTGAATCCATCTGATGGTGATGCTATCTATCCTACATTGTTCTAGCTTACCAAGAAGTAGGTTGTGGTCTACTTTGTCAAATGCCTTGCTGAAGTCCAAATATATTATACCCACAGCATTTTGGTGGTCCACTAATTTAATTACTTTGTTAAAGAATGAAATAAGATTTGTTTGACATGATCTGTTTTTGACAAACAAAAAAATCAAACCTATGTGCCTTCCTGCAAGCACAAAAAATAAAAACAATTTCTATGCAAGAAGCAACATTAGGATCAAAATATACTAAGCTTTACTGTATCACTTGTAGTTCCATGATTTTCTTTTATTTTGTCTGTAAGTGGAGGCTGTGGCATGGACAGTCAAGAGCAAAACTGGATGTTTACAATTGGAACTCAACACCATTTCCCCATGCCAAATCCTGTTGGAGATCACTCCTCCAAAGGTTGTTGCTGTTTGGCTTGTGATTGAACTTTCCAAAACCCAAAGCCAACCTTAAAATGTTAATGGTGAAAATGTTGTGGCAATGAATAGTAGTTTAATAAAATAATTGGAGTGGGGGCAGGAAAATGACATGTAAATATAGTTTTGCTTCCAGAAAGAAATGCTCCTAATACTTACCATTTAGAAGAACTTCTGCAGCTGTTCTTTCTTATTTAACTGTGACATATGTTGGTAGAAATGAAAAAGAAAATAGAAGTATTAATAGAAAGATCAGAATTCCAGCTATGCCCTTTATGAAACGTTATGAGTAAGGCAAGATAATTGTATAATAAAACTCCCCTTTAGAAGCCCCTCTATTAAGTATCTCTACTTCATCCATATTCAGACTTTAGCACACATGGACATTTAGTTAGTTCTTTACCGGTACTTTTTCATGCTGAGTTTTATCTGTTTCCAGAATGTAATTATCCCATCATGTTTTTCTGAAATATTTCATATCTTCACTCCATATAGGACTGGAGGCTACAAATATGGACAGCGTTCCTATTGCTACCAATGAAGTGAATTTGGCATTTGAAGAACTCAATCCTTTCTATAAGCAAGGTTTCCCTTACTCTGGAAAGGTAACAACCCAACTAAATCAACTTTTTCAGTTTAATGAGGACTTATTAACATTGCCACTTGGAACTTAAGAGTAAATGCTAAATGCTACAAGTTAGTGGATGAATAAATGAAATTCTTGTCTGTAAAACTAAGACAATTCTGAACAGCACCACTGAAGTGTTCCTGTTCTGTCTGGTAGCTGTGTGGTAGCTGAAGTGTTCCTTTTCTGTGTGAAAACTGCTGGCTGTAAAAGTGCTATCTTATCTCAACTCTGCACTGGCAACAAAGCAGACAGGGCTTCTATCTGCATCAGTCAATATGAGGTGGCAGGCAGGAATGGAGAACCTTTGTTGATGCCATTTAGAAGATCCCACAGCTCTTCTGCTGTTGGTTCTCTAATTTCATGAAGTGATTGCTTTGTGGAGCAGAAAAAAAGGGGCAGAAAAGGAGCTGTTCTTTGCTGCTTCTCTGCTGTTTCTTTTCTTGCTGTTAACATGTGTCAAAAGAAGAAGAGGAGAAGGAGGTGGCTTGAGTCTTTCTAGTACAACATCTCCCAGCATCAAAAAAGTCTCTCCTCATGCAGTAGTTGCTGAAATGGGGTGGAACTGCCCCCACTCTGTTGTGAAGCAGCCAATTAACTGGATACTTAGCTTGCTTGAAAACTGCACATAAATAATTCTAATCATGATTCTCATCCAACTGGGAAATGTTATTGAATGAAGTGTCATAAGGTTTCATCCTTTGAGATTTTAGATAATGACTTAAATGAAGAAATGGGGGTAATGCTTATTAAATTGGCCAGTGATATCACATTAGGCAACATAACTAATAATGAGAACACCCCTCAACTTATATTGATAGGTTAGAGCAGGTCTGTCAAACTCCTGGCCCACGGGCCGGATGCATCACACGCTG